AGAGATCGTGCTTTGTGATTCACCTGGAGTTTGTGTGTACGCATGTATAAGCGTTCATAAATATGAACTTATGGACATATAGGAGGCAAATCGTTTGGGTGAATATACTATTGCTAGTGTCTACATTTTCTCATTTCATGAAGAAGCTGTTTTCAGAGAACCTATTAGGCCGCTTTTGAGAGGACAACATATGAGCTGGCTCGAGTGTTCTAATGGTCTTAGATCCTAGTCCTTGCATTTCTAGTTAGTCAACAGTGAAGTTTGTATAATTAAGATGCGTACCCTGTGTTTGATATATTGCTCCAGTGACTTTTTCTGTCTTGTTCACTGAAAAAGTATTGATATTCTGTTTCAGCTATGAAGTAGGAATTATAAAATTGGAAACACTCGTATTCATATTTTCAAATTAAAATTCATGGATCTTATTAGTACATCATTCATCCCTTCCATATTATGAATTGGTTTGGTTTGCACAATGACAAGCACAAGGGTTTTTCATATGCTTTCACTTGCTAAATATCACGCAGTACAAAGGATTTTGATGGATGGTTGCAAGGATTGATTGATTGATGATGTTCAAGAAAAGCTTGCAATGAGAAATAACCATTTTGCTACAAGCTTGCTTCTCCAAAACTATAAAACGTTGTAAACAAGAGGCTGAGTAGGGGAAAGAAGGCATTGGTACCATTCTGGACATCACAACCTCGCTTTGTCTTTTCTTTCGACCTCATTCTTAAGGACACCATGTGTCCAACGTTGGATCATTTTGTAAAATCTCATGACAGTCTTTTAGTTAAAGATGGAAGAGTCATTATTACTGAAGCTTCTTCTTATGTATAGCGATTTGAACATCAACTTATTATTAGAAGGGCAAAGATCTACTTATAAACGATGCTTTGTGTTTTGGGATTGCCAAAGACGGAATTTACTCATGCATTTAATTATTTCAAAACTTCTTGGGTCACTTGTATTTTCATTTCCTGAAATGGGTTGGATCTCTCCATATGGCTAGTTCTTGCTTGGGTCATAGAGAAAAGTGGATGTCCTAGAGCTACATATGTGTTCTGCGTTCGGCCCAACATGTGTCCAGGCCTCGAGACAGTTAATGGACTTTCAATGTTGGCTTGCATTCTAGTTATCATTATTGAATGTCTCTCTATCTTTCTATGTCAAGGTGGCAAGCACTACTTAAGCTTTTGAAAGCCACTTGGTTCTATTTTCTTGATCAGCACAGTCAAAATATGCATTCTTGGATCATGAGGACAAGGTTGATTTTAATGGGACGTAATTCTTAATGTCATGAAAGGGTCTAATTACACTATGGCATAGGTGGTAATGTAGGTTGAATTTGCAGGTTCAACTTGTCAAAAAACGTGTTGAGTTGATAAAATGTGAGCTTGTTTTGAGGCAAATCTTTTTTAGCCCACATTTGCCAACTCACAATTCGTCATGAGCTAACCTTTTTTTTTAAAATTTTTGACAGTTTTTATTTAATTTTAATAAGAAATTTTTTATCATTTTCACTTAATTTTAATATAGTATTGCACTTTGTTAGGGGCTTTGATTCTATATTTGATTTCTTTTTTTTTTTATTTTATCATTTCTATATTAATAAAAAAATATTAAAAATAGATTATATGTTTATATTATTTGTAAGTCTTGAGATTAATTAACTATATAATTATACAAAAATATAAAAATAAGCAGAATTTAATATTAAAAAATTTTAAAATATATGTGTAAAAATAGAAATGCGGATTGGTTGAATATCAATCTGCGCAGGTCTTTTAAGCCTAGCTTGCATGGACTTCAACCAGTGGCAGGCTGGCGATAAGTAGCGGCCCAACCTGCATTAATCATATTAATGGGCCGAGAGATGAAAGAATTGGGGCCTGGGAGGCTGTCGAGGATTTTGTGGATTCGGTTTCCTCTCTGCCTCCTATTCTTCCCTTCACGTCCCTAGGCTGCCATTCGGTTCCCTCTGACTATTCTCTTTATCTGATTCAATTTCAGTCTGTTTCAGGTTAGTTTTGTTCTTTCAGATAAGGCCACAAGTGTCCCAACCAATGCGTTCAAATAATATGATTCTAATATAATATTTATATGATTTGAAGAGGGCTAAGCCCAAAGATATAGAAACAGGAAAAAAGCCAACAAAACTTAAAAGGGCTGTTTGCAATCCAGTGGAATAAGCCCAATCATAATTAGATCCACAGGTCCATTATCCAGTATGTTGGGGGGGGAACTAAAATGGGATGTCCCTGTCCTATCCCGTCTTGACCAGGATCGGGGTAATATTGGGACGGACATAGGATAGAAATCCCTTCCATCCTTATTCATCAGGACGAGCAGCTTGTCCCAGTCCTTATTTTGATATAGGTTTTTGCTATTTGCAAGTCAATTATTATAAAAAAAACTGTTAAAGTATTATAAGAAATATTGATTTAGGATTTTGCAGTTTTCACCATCTACATTTGTCATTATTCCTTAACTTATCTGCATTGAAATTAATTAACTAAAAAGACAACTCCTTCTTTAGCAGTTGATTTAAGTTAATCTTATCCTATGGACTCACTTGTATCTTCGACAAGTTCACTTGACAAACATACGTGCTTTTCTTTTTATATTTATTTAGAAAAGTATATTTAAAAAGCACACATACTCATTTCCTTCCTACATATTCAATACCAACAGGATCATACAACTAAAAGGTCAATCTCTCACAATATAGCAAATCAAGATTCAAAATTTGTTGAGAGAGATATTCATATTTAGTGTTTGATAGTATCTCGAACAGAATTACCTCTAATAGAAAAATATCTATGCCTAAAAAAGAAAAATATTACCACAAATACTCTCTTGGGGCCCAAGCAATAATAACATCGAATTCACAACTACATGTTACATTAACGCCGAGAGGCACTACAAAAAAGCAGGGTTTTAGTGACGGAATAAAATTCTGTCGTTAATCCTTCACAAATTCCGTCGTAAAAATTAGTGACAGAATTTAGTGACGGAAAATTTTTGTCACTAAATTAGTAAAGGATTAGTGAGGGAATTTTATTCCATCACTAACTTAGAGATGGATTAGTGACGGAGTTTTATTCTGCCACTAAATTCTATCACAAATCCGTCACTAGTTTCATTTTAAATGATTAGTGACGGAAAAATTTCATCACTAATTTCTATCGCCAATTCGTCACTAACTCTCATTTTGTGACGGAAATTAGTGATGGAATTTTCCGTCACTAATCATTTAAAATGAAACTAGTGACGGATTTGTGATAGAATTAGTGACGGAATATAAACTCCGTCACTAATCCATCTCTATTTTTAAACTTATTATAAAATAAAAATATAATATATCATAATTTTTAAATAAATATTACATAAAAATTAAAAAATATAAGTAATAAAGAAAATAAAAATAAAAATATATAATATACTTATTATTTTGTTAAATATTTGAATAAAAATATAAATTATTAGAAATTTTTTACTAAATATAAAAAATTAAATTCAAATAAAATAATAATATATTAAATTATGTATATAATATTTATTATATATATATTGGTATTTGTTACTAGAAATATTATATATATTTTTGTAAAAGAATTTTGTAGTTGCTTCTCAACTCAACTGGCAAAGGCTTCAGAACACACGCAGAGGTCTCAGGTTCAAACCAATTTGTGATGTGGGCGATAACTGATGTGGCAGCTTATAATGATGGACACGTTGTGATGACGTGGCGGCTCTAATGATGGACACGTGGTGATGACGTGGATGAAGAGATGATGTGGCAACGTGGGAGAGAGAAGAGTTGGTGAGGTGGCAGCCATGGATGATGTGGCGGCTCATAGTGATAGATATGTGGCGATAATGTGGTATTTTAAATTTACAAAATAAAAAAATTTAGCGACGGATTAGTGACAGAAATTTCCGTCACCAATTTGTGACGGAATTTTCCGTCACAAATCCATTATTATTTTGTGACAGACTTTTTGTAGGATATCTGTTACTAATTAGCTACAATTGGTGACGGAAAATTTTCGTCACTAATTCCGTCGCTGATCCGTTAATAATTAGTAATAGAAGTTTGAATTCTGTAACTAATTATTTAGTGGCGATAGAATTAGTGATGGAAAAAATACCATCACTAATTCCATCGCTAATTGAATTCCATCACTAATCCATTACTAATTCATCATTAAATTTATCACTAATTGATGTTTTTTTTGTAGTGACATAATACCATACAGTATACCTCATGGGTTGCTTTACGCCGATAAAGATCTCACTATCGTGTGAGTTACAGGCGAACAATTGATTTGGCCAAAAACAAAATAAAAAGGCATCTGTTTCTATTGCATAATGACGCGGCCCGCTATAATAGAAAGGGGCTTTGATGGCAAACAAAAAAAACAAAAACACGAGAATGGAATTCACTAATTTGGTTATCTCATTATGGATACTGAATAGGGAGAAAGGCATCTCGAAATATGAGAATTCTAAAATGATTGGTTGAAATGGCTTAATTCGCATGAAGTATTTGGAAATTATTTTGAAATTAATTAAATTTTTGTGAAATGACCTAATTGTCCTTGTTAAAATTAATTCACTATATGTCTTTGTTGTTGGCTAGGTTTATACTTGGATTCTAGATGTCGCATGAGCACATTGCATGCCCCATCAAGGCAAGAGGCATTGGACAGTTAAATTAAACAAGCATTGTCATTTTGTTTCTCATAAGCACTTAAAAAAAAGTATTTTTACGTAAGTTGAGTTAAAATTCTCATAACGTATTTATCTTCTGAAAAGTTAATCCAAACACCATTAAGTCATTTTAGGGTTTAAATTGGGATTTGCCTATTTGGGTGGCAATATAATGTTTGTGTCTTTCCCTTATAAATATTGCCGCCTGGCTTCCATCGTGAACCCAAAGCATAGCAGCTAACATCCCCATCATCCTCCTTTCAGTTCTATGTTTGGTAACATAAATGGCCAAACCATTTTCACCAAAAATAGAGTTCACTGTGAGGAAATGCCAACCAAAACTAGTGGCTCCAGCCAAGCCTACACCTCGTGTGGTTAAGCTACTCTCTGACGTAGACGACCAAGAGCATCTAAGATGTCAAATTCCATTATTCTTCTTTTATCCTCACAGGCCTTCCATGGCAGGAAAGGACTCTGCTAAGCTCATCAAAAAGGCACTCGCTGAAACCCTAGTCTTTTACTATCCATTTGCAAGTCGACTTAGGGAGGGAACTGGTCGCAAACTTATGGTAGATTGTAAGGAAGAAGGACTCATTTTCATTGGAGCTGATGCAGATGTTTGTCTTTACCAATTTGGTGGCCCTCTTAAACCTCCATTCCCTTGCTTTGAAGAGCTTCTTTATAATGTCCCTGGTTCAGAAGGAATCATTAATTGCCCCCTCTTACTCATTCAGGTCCTCTCATATATTTAGTCTTTTATTTCAAGCTTCATCATTTTTGTTTACTTCACAAGTCATTCTCAGAAAAAAGGGTATACTTATGCTGTCATTTTTGCTTTTATTAATGTTGGACCAGAATTATCCATACCATGACAGGTTTTACCTCAAATGCCTCCAAGATGTGCTAATGTTGGTTATGTTTTTCTTCCCCCTTTAATTAAGGTTACACGTCTCAAGTTTGGTGGATTCATTTTCGCTCTTCGCTTAAACCACACTATGAGTGATCGTCTTGGTCTTGTTCAATTGGTGAAGGCTTTAGCTGAGATAACACAAGGAGCTTGTGAGCCTTCAATCCATCCAGTTTGGTGCAGAGAGTTACTAAATGCGACGGACCCACCTCGTATGACATGCTGCCACACTGAATACGATGAAGTGCCAAATAATGACGATGATGAAACAAGAAATGAAGACATGGTCTACGATTCTTTCTTCTTTGGTCCTAACCAGTTAAAGGCCATTTATCAATGATTCCCTCATCACCAACATCGTCAAAACTCTACGTTTGAAGTACCATTCATCTAGCATTGTCGTACCATAGCTTTACGGCTTGAACCAGGTAAGGAGGTTTGCTTAATGTGCAATAATAATGTAAGGAATAAAAAGTCGAACCCTCTGTTGCTATCACCGCGTTATTACGGCAACGCTTTCATGTTCCCAACCGTCATCACCACCGCCGGGAAGCTCTGCGGCAACCCTTTTGGGTATGCCTTGGAGCTGGTCAAGAAATCAAAAGCTATGGCAACATCAGAGTACATACAATCTGTAGCAGATCTTTGGTTATGAGAGGACGGCCTAACCATATTTCCTCAAGGGCTTGGCAGGTATCAGATTTGACCCGTGTTGGTTTTAAAGACATAGATTTTGGTTGGGTTAAGGCAATATATGGTGGACCAGCAATGCCTGGTGCTGGAGACTTCCATGGAGTAAGCTTCTTTGTTTCCCATAGGAATGCAAAAGGAGAAGAAGGCATTGTCGTACCAATATTCCTGCCACGCAAATCTATGATGATATTAATCAAAGAGTTAGAGAACAACATGATAATTAGCAAACTTTGATAACTTACTAGATGGTGCTTTGTGCTTCACCTGGAGTTTAAAATGAGCCACTTCATGTATGCGTTTGTTTGTGTGTACCCATGTTTGGGTTTGAGTGTTCATAAGTATGAAGGTATGGACATGAGTACTTTTTAGATCATTGTTGTTTTCGGGGTTGTATTTTTATAATGCAAGATATGCATGAAATAATGTATTGCGATCCTTGCTAGATCAGAGTTTATATCTTACAAAAGTCAGCACAAAAGGAGAGGAATGTATAGTAGCACCAATCTGCTTTCTAATCAAATCATGAAGATTAGAATGTTAGGGTGAATATACTATTGGTAGTAGTGTCCATATTTTTCCATTTTCATGAAGAGACTGGTTTCAGATGCCCATTATGCCGTTTTTGAAAGGAGGACATGGGCTTGCTAGAGTATCTAGCAGCTGGGGGCCTCAGGATCCAGTACTCACCCTTGATCCACACTAGGAAAGGCATGGTAATACTCCCTCCTGTTGAAAATATAAGTTAACATGTGTTGAGAGGTTTGGTTTTTTCATAAGATAATATTTCAAATTTGTCTAACCATTTAATGAATATTTTCCAATTTTATCCCTAACATATGTATTTAATTTTTTTGCTTATTGATGGCATTAATCATAGAAAGTGCTGGTTTACAAGGCATGAGAAGAGAGAAAGGTGTTTTAAACAAAGTGAATAGAGGAGAGAAACTTCAATGAATATTTCCCAACCCCTTTTGTTTTTCAAATTACATTTTGGTTGACTTTGTTTGCCTCCACTAATTCAATTTATTCATGACACACTCTCTCTCATCCTTTGCCTCAATATATTCTCTTTCCTCCTTTTTTTTTTTATATTTATTATTATTTTACTTATCTCATTAATAAGGGTATATTTAGAAAATATATATACACCTTACATACTTATTGTTTTAAACTGCTTTTATTTCATTTCTTGATAAACATAAATCAGCTAACTTTAGCTTATATTTTGAACCGGAGGGAGTAACTAATAAGTCATTCATGGTAAAAACTTCTATGATACATTTTTTATTACAAATTTTATGTTGATAAAAAAAGGATCAAACAGTTTGATAAGGGAATCATATGATATAGTTCTTTTGTTGGTAAATTGAAGGATTAGAGACTATTGCTTTCCAATATCCCCAACTACGCCCCTAGCTACTCCTCAATTTTGGGGCCCTTCCTAAATATTGTTTAGCTTCTTTTTATCGTTAGATTTTACATAAAATGAGTGATATTTTAATTTATTTGTAAAAAAATAGTTTAGTCTTCAATTTTTCAAAAATTTAATACTCTAAATAATTTAATTTCTTTTTTCAAAAAAAAAAAACTTTGTGTTTTGATATTGTCAAAGATGGAGTCTAATCCTGCATTCACGATGAAACTTCTTGGGTTGGATCCTCCTGTATAGCGATTTCTTGTTTGTGACATCGAGAAAAGAACCTAGAATGTTCTGCATTAATTAAGTCCAACATGTGTCCAACCTTCAAGAGAGTTAATGTCACAAATGGCTCTAATGATGTATTATGGATGGTGGCCTTGATCATATTAATGGGCTAAGAGATGAAAGGGTTAGGACCTGGGAGGTGAAAAGGATTTTGTGAACTCAGCTTTCCTCTCTGCCTTACATGCCTCCCTTCGCCTGTGGCTGCCTTTCGGTTCCCTCTGACTATTCTCTTTTATGTGATTCAATTTCGGTTCTGTTTCTCCTAAGTTGTAGGACCGCATAGCATATCACAGGTAATTATAATTACTACGACTGAACAATTATATTCCTTTACCGTTCTAGTCAGATGCAGTGAGTTTGCTCCTTTCTTTGATACATTATCGTATTGTAAATTGCTAAATCAAGAGTATGGTAGGCAGCTAATTTGTTGTTGTAAATAGCTAATAAAAAGTGGTAAATATCCTCAAATGGGGGCCTTTTACATTAATTTATTAAAATGTTGAATTTGCTAAAACATGTTGTCAATTGCTAAATGGGTAATTGGGTATGATGAATAGCTAATAATCTGAAATGTAATAAATATCTTGAACAGAAGCTTTTTACAATAATGTACTATGAGAATTACTAAAATGTGTTATTAATTGCTAAATGGGTACGGTGCGTAGTTAATAAAGTATTGTCAATAGCTAATCAAATGTAGTAATTAAATACCCTGAAGCAAGGGCGAAGCCATTCCATGCTCATCGGAAAGACGACCATGGAATGTTCATCTTATTTTGGATCATTCAATTTGATTTTATTTGGATAGTCTAAATTCAAGTTAAATAATTTTTTAGTATTTTAAATAATCATTTGGTTTAATAAATATAGAATTTAAAATAAAGATAGTACAACAAGAGCACATGGTATTTAGTAAAGTGATAAGCACGTGGTGTTTATCTTATCACTATGATAAACACCAAATGATGATCAGAAACATGGACCTATTACATTAATTAAGGCATGGAGTTTATTATAAACCGTATTGTCAATTGTTAAACGGTATTGTAAACAGCTAATGAGATGTTGTCAATATATCCAATGAAGTGTGGCATATATCCAGGGACCTTTTATGTTAATTTATTCAAGTGTGAAATTTGCTAAAACATATTGTTAATTGTTGAATAGTGGCGTAGGTGAAAAGCTAATGAGGTGTTTTAAATAACTAATATAGTATAGTAAATATATATCTTATAATATTTTTAATATAGATAATATAATTCAGAAATATGGATGTGATTGAAGTTCAACAAGAAAGACAAATTGATATTATAATCTAGTTTTTTTTACCAGCGATATTATAATGTAGTTTAATAATTATAAGAGGAAATTAGAGAGGATATATTCCTCTCTAAAATATGCTTGACAAAAATTTTAAGTGAAAATTCATAATATTTAAAAATATTATTTTTCTCTTCAATAACATAAAGATCTGTCAAATCCACAGTTGAATGCAGATCTTAGAAAGTTTTAGCGATGACACTACTAGTCGCTGTTGAAGTGAGACCTCTAGCGGTTGTTGTAGAAAGTCCTCTGAAATTTATGTCCTTTAAGAACTTCCAGTGGTGACCAAAAAAAATTGCCGCTGAATGTGAGACTTTCAGTGGTAATTTTTATGTTGCCGTTGAATGATATTTTTAGTGGTGATAAAAAAAGTTGTCGCCAAATGACATATTTTTAGTGGCAACTTCTTCTGTTGCTGGAAAAAGTCTATTTTTGGATAGTGTAATTAATATTCGAGATTTTTTAGGGGATAAAAATACTTAAATATCTCAAAAGTATCCACTAAGGGGTACCCGGTACTTTGATTTTTTTTTTGCTCTTATATGTCCTGAAAGTTTTATTTCATAGCATTTCTGTCATGAATTGTTATCTGTCATCAAGTTTGATCATTAAAGACACTAATCAAATTGCATAATTCAATACTCAAACTTAACGGTGGATAACGGCTAGGGTATTATTGCTATGAAAATAAACTTTTATGGCATATAAAAGCCCAAAAAAAAAATTCAGGTGTTGGCTGATCCTTCATAAACACTTTCAGAATATTTAAGTACCTCTTTTTTTTTTTTTAATTCTGATAAAAATATGTTGTAAGTGACTTAACAAATTCATCTTGTGATAAACCATAACCAACGTCACTTTCTTCAAAGATTGAACTAAACCTAGACAATCTTGAATGAGGCATGCAAGCCTACTGACTTTATTTAAAATAAAGTTCAATTTATAGAACAAAAGCAGCAGCAAATTATGCTTCTGGGTGGGGTCGATTAGCTCTATGAACCAGAGTATTCTATGCTATCCAACTCTTTAAATAAACTAAGTTGCGTTTAATAAGTTTCTTGATTATTGATATAATCTTAATTTTTCTCCACCTCTGTAAGATTCAAAACTAATTATTCAATTATTTGTACAATAAAGCAGTTTTATAGAATTGATATATGCTCATCAAATCTAATATTTTAAAATTTAAACTGAGCATCATCGTCTCATCGTAGAAATAAAATAGTCTAATTATTCTCAATCACGCCACTTTTGCTTGTTCACTCTTTGATCTATTATTATTTTTTTGAAAGCGAATATACCCTCATAAAATATGTATACCAAAAGTGCGTATACTCATCTACTAAATTAAACAATTATGTTACCAAATCTCGTTTTTTCTTCCATTGTTTAATTAATTAAGAAGCCTATATATATATGACGTGCTTTAGGAGCAAATTAATTTTAAATATCAATAGAGATGTACGAAGTACGAATTACTAATAAATAATGTATTTTGTTTTGCCCTTAAAAAACAAAATATACTGTTGGTAAGGTCAGTCAACAAAAATAAAACAAAAGCTAGTTAATAAGAGAAACTTTTCTGTCATTAATTCAATATTGTTAATGATTAGGAATTG